ATCCTACGAGTTAAACTAAAGTAGAGAATGACTGTTCACCAAATAGTTAAAAGTGGCACAGATTTTCACTTATATAAAGTTCCAATTTTATATGACTGTGCCTCACCTCAAACTCGTGGAGTTGATCTTAGATTGCCTAATGTTTTCCGAATGAGTAAAACAACCCACTGGTCTCACTATCTGCTGCCACCACAGGTTAGCAAATACTATGTTAAGACCACTAGTAATCAGGTTAAGCTGAATTGATGTTAAATTTTTGACGACAGCTAAGCCAAGCGTAGGCCCTTGGTCTAAAAATGTTCGGCTTGGAAATTACCCTTTTCACTAAGAGGTCCATAGCGTTCCCATGGGAGCTTTCTTGCCTTTTACTGCACCAATTCATAAACTCAAAAGTACTTCAAAACGAGAGCGAGGATCCTGAGCATTAATGTGTTATGCAATGCTATTGTATTCTAGTGCTTTTATATAAATGTAAAATAGAGCCCCTGGGACACATACACTGTATACCAGGGTCTCACAGAGAGATAAAATGGTGCAGCAGCGTAATAAAATAACGTGAGGGTGAGACTGCCCAAATTAAACATGATGTATGCAAAAGCGCAAATTTAAACCTACACGTTCTTATCATGACTGCTCTGTGCATTCGGGTTAGTGTTTAAGTATTCCCGATGACCGTTTGTGAGTATGAATTTGTCGTGTGAATTTCCACCAGCTGTTTATTCTACATTCGATAATATACATATATTTAATGTAAACAGTTTGAGCAAAGTGTTTGAAAATAAAGCTGACTCGAGGGTTGTAATTTTTTTTTAAGTTGAAATTAATTTTATTTGGTTTTACATAAATAAACAAGTGGAATTTGTTGAGAAATCTCGTTCAATTTCCTAGTGTACAAAGGTACACTAACAACACAATCCAGTAATAATCATTAAGAATAATATATGAAATGCATTTATGTTGCCGTACAGAATGGTCCATTTATAGATACCACATCGATGTCTAATTGCCCCACATGCTTTCGTCTCAATAGATGAACGAATATCGTGAAATTGATGGCTCCACGTGTTAGAGAGGAGTGTGTTAAAACCTTTAATAAGTGCATTAAGATCGGTGGGAGCCACGTAGAGGCATTTATATAAAATGCTGTTTTCTCTATCGTGTCTGCCCATCACTAAAAATGCTAGAGTGGGGCGTCTATAAATGGATCACCATTAATATCGTTTTGCCGAACATCACTGACATAATTTGATGGTATCAGTGTACGCTCATTAGACTTAAAGAGTATGGACACTTTAATGGAACGTTATTACGTATCTTGCTTTTTTTTGTCTATAATACTGAATCATAATTTAAAATAAAATAAAAAACCTCAGAAAAACTGCATCAATTTAAAACCACCGGCCAATGGAGCCGGAGGGAGTCTGCGCCGAGTGAAACGTGAAAAGAGACGATGACGTTTGCTGCGGCTCTTTTAGTGGGCAATCTCGCGCGCGTAATTTCTTTTACTCTCGGCCAAGTGTGAAGGCAGAAGACGTTATAACCACAACGCATGCGTGCATTACACTTATTTAATGGGGGGGGGGGGAGGGAGGGAGGTCTTCTCGAGGCTTTAGCGGTGTGGGGTGGTGGTGGTGTTGCTGTGAACGCTGCGAGCTGTGGTCGACTACCGTTCCCCACCCACCCAGCCTGGCCGTAGCTCACGTCACGTGGGTGAGAGGCACACACCGTGTCAACCCACACACAGTTCACCCGTATTCTCGTGCAGGGAAATTGAGTTTTCAGGTCTATACGGCGTTACAGCCGCTTCAATACGAGCGCAGGAACATGTTTTTGTCTATTTGTTTGTGTTTATCCCTTGTGATGGCACTTTGTAGGATGAACGTTGAGATAAGGGCACGGGGTGACCAATACGATCTGAATTAGTCTGTAATAAGTTAGGCACTGATAAGGGGTTGACAGGTATGGAGACATCTGAGGCGGTCTTCGTTTACCAACCCGCACTGACCCAGAAAGGTGACGTATGGTCATACAACTCCCATGATTGACATGGCATCTTATCTTATCTACACGAATTATAAATTGTACATTAGTTTTGGCTGATTGGGAAAAAGGGATGGGGTTTGAGTATCAGGGAGGGGTTGGGATGGCAAAGAAGGGTGATGATAGGGAGAGGGTGAGGTTAGGAAGAGGAAGAAGGAGGATTGTCAAGGTTTTAAGGATGCGGACAGGAAGTAGTAGGGATACGCTATTGAAAGAAACGTGATGGGGACCTCCCATCAACCAGCCAGTTAATTGACAAGAGGCTCTTATTATATTTCGATTTAAAGCTTTCGTGACTGTAGGGATTCATATTCTTGGTTCTTTCGGTAAAGTCACGTAGAAGGGAAGTAATAAAATATTAATAAAACAATAAAATTCTCACGACGTTTCGATTGCAACACAAGCAATCATCATCAGGTGTGAAAACCACAGCAAGAATTGTATTGTTTTATCTATATTATTTAATTATTTCCCTTCTACGTGCTCTTATTATAGTTTTAAATTGCATTCATACATTATTCTTTTATATACTTGAGACATTGCTCAGACCGCTCATTACGAACGTATTCTGCGACAAGACAGACAATGCTTAGGCAGGGTCCTCCGTTTCACCCACACAACAATCTCCCAATATTGTTTGGGTCTTTCGGTAAAGTCACGTAGATAGGTTCAAAGAATTCACACAAAAAACCACGACGTTTCGATCGCAACACAAGCGGTCGTCTTCAGGAAAAGGGGGTTAGAGCTTCTAAAGGCAAACTGTCTATAAACCTTTTTGACTGGGAGAGCCATAAAAGCCAAATATTTCTAAATATCTTTCATTGAGAGCCATATAGTATTTTTAACGTATAATAAATTAAATATGTCTTACTTTTAATGCGACTTCTGGTCACGGAACCCGTGACCCGTGAAATTTATCTTCAAAACTAATTTCTGTTTACTTTAAAATGACACAGTAGTATTAAGCAATATCACAAGTATTTTTAAATCAGTTCCAAACTGATTTTTTTTTTCCACTCAAAATTGTCTGGGATCCATATGCCGTCACCGGAAGAGCCATATATGGCTCGCGAGCCATAGGTTCCCGACCGCTGATGTAAGTGATGGGCAGCGAACGCGATGGTGGTGGGTTTCCACCAATTGAAGGGCTGCCAGCTAAAAAAATGTGCATATTAATGTGAGATCGGTGAGCGGCCTCCATGGCGAGCGCGCTGAGGTGGTTATGTTAATGTGCGAGATTAGTACGTTAATGAACCGAAAAACCCAAAGAATATGAATTCCTGCAGTCACGAAAGATTTAAGTCAACAATCTCTCTCTCCAGGCTACTTACACACACACATATACATATCATCTATCCAGTGCCGGATTAAGCTAGTGCGGGGCCTGTAGCATATGTTATTAAGGGGCCCCAAATAAAAAATAAAAATATTAAAACACTAATTTTTTACTTGCATAGTAAAGTAATTGCATTTTTAATTGGCTATACAGTCAGATAATACGACAAATCGTTAGCCTTAAACACCCAGTTGTTCATAAAAGTTAAAGGCGGTATAGTACTATAGTAACAGAGCAAGTGTAGAATCACTGAACCGGAATTGATAGCTTGAAAGCATTTAGCGCAGGGGCCCTTGAAAGTGCGGGGCCCGTAGCATATGTAGCTCTTTTGCTCCTAGAATAATCCGACACTGCTTCTATCCACACTTATACAGCCCTGATTGTCACGTGTGTTCTTCTTCTGCAGTGTGTGCCTTCATGTACAACAACAAATGCACTCTGTTATACGTATACATCGGGGTTCTGTTTAAAGGTGGAAGACTCCACCTGGGATCATCTCGCACCTCAGACTTCGTCACCAATTTAAAGGCGCTCTGCGTGCAAGGGCCTGGAGGTTGTACATCACTCGCAGCCGCCCATGGTTTATGAATGTCATTGCAAGCACCAATTATTGTCAGATTCCTCACCGTCTGCTTCTCCAATGCATTTGCCAAAACCACTCACTGGGTTTTTTAATGAGAAAAAAAGTTAAAATTACGTGCTGTTATGGTTCTGCACATTGGACTTGCAATGTATAAAGGTAGCTCAATCGATTCTATCTCCTATGATGACAGCTGAAATAATGTTGCAGGTTTATTAAACCCCCCTCCCTCTATCTACCCAGCAGTCTATGAGAACACCAATTCTACAGGATTTTTTTTATCATAACATCAAATATATTATAATAATTGGTTCTTTACCCTTCTATCTGGCAACAAAACTGACACCTTTTTGCAAGGAGTCATGTTTGCATAGACCGCAATACCTGCAGTCATAATACAAACAAAAGAACATAACTCTGATAATGTGCACTGTCCTTGAAGTTGATTGGTCCACACCCGAGACAGCTTTCCTTCGAGCCTAGTCTCATATGGGTTGGACCAGATGACGCCAAAAGGCGCACAACTCAAGGACAATGCACCATCAGAGTATGAGAGCTCGGGGCAAGCACAGTGCACATTATCAGAGTTATGTTCTTTTGTTTGTATTATGACTGCAGGTATTGCGGTCTATGCAAACATGACTCCTTGCAAAAAGGTGTCAGTTTTGTTGCCAGATAGAAGGGTAAAGAACCAATTATCATATTTCTACTGGCAAATGAGGTCCCCATAGTGTAGATCAAATATATTCTATATAAAGTGTAATCATTGCCCCCAATATACTGAAATGTTCCTTTGGCAGTAACCAGACAAATATATTTACTAATTTAGTTAACATTCATAACTTTGCCACCGGTGACAGAAAATTGTTGATAGCTTCGGCAGGTCTTCATTAAACAAGGACTTGATTATAGCCGATGATGATGATGATGACAGCGGTATGTTAAAAATCTATTGAATGACGGGTTTTTTTCTCTCGATATGCCTCGGGGCTCTAACGTTGATGTACGTTGTATTTCTCTCTCATGATGTTTGCCCGCTCGCAGTATTACTTGACAGTGCACTTCGGGCACGATGGGCAGAGGGCTCTGGAGCTGTCTACAGAGGACGAAGCAGACTGTGAAGCTTGGGTCTCTGCCATCTCTCAGTGCAAGTGAGTGCTCAAGCCACGCGAGTTTCTGGGGTGTGCAAAGTAGAGCAGCCTTATTTTATTCCAGAAGAATGTGTCCATCCATTGCCGAGTCCTTACACACACACACATTCAGTAATCACAAGAGAATAATATGTTTTTGTTTAGAGCTTATGTTTATTAATATGTAAAGGTGCAGCCCTGCAATTTCTTGCTCAAACCGCTGATGGTTGGGTGCTTCTAAATTGCCACACGCAAAAAACAATAACAATGAAGATTTAGTTAACTGGATTTCATATTGTCCGAGCAGCGTGTGTGTTATAAATTCGACAAGTCACTTTTACAACGAAATTAATTCTTCCTCGTTGAGCCTCGATCTGGTGAATTGATTTTGCTGTCGTTTTTGATTTTGAAGTGAAACAACTCAGGCAACAAATGATTTGCTGCTCAGAAGGGCAAGGTGTTAAATGTTTACTGTATTTATATGATGCCTTTGGCATTTGTTAAAATTATGAAATGACTAAAATTCGAAACATAACATTTCTGGCAAAATATTCAGGAGAGAGAATGATTGGTGTCTGGGGGCTCTTCCTGCATGGAAACTTAGAGCTGTCTGTGCCCTGCCCCCGCGAGGCATCAGTATGACATGTGGTTTGTGAGCAAGTGGATTAGACTTGAATTGTATTTAATTTTAAAGTAAGTAGCGAGATAAGCCAAGGATTTCAATGCGCTCCTTGACACGTCATGCCTCTCCACTTTCCACGAGAACAAATTCTGTGATGTAGATTAATTTCAGTATGACTGTTTGCATTCACACCGAGGGACCGGGGCATGAAAAGGTAAAATTACATTTTACAATATTACACTCACTACATTCATCATAAAACATTTTCAACAAGCCATCTGTTATGTAACCACACCAGAGACGATGGCACAGAAACTATACTATCCAAAACAATAGCACAGTATTAAACGTTAGACTTCACTCGGCACATCGCTTTAGTGTGCATTGAATTTGGTAGTTTTGTTGAGTAAAATAGCTCAAGCTTTCATGTAGAACTGAAAATGCAAGCCCCATGCGGCACGTATCTATCACCGCGCTGTACCTCCATGTGGCATGTTGACTACTCGGATTAATTTCACACGTGAGCACATAATGATAAAGAGGTCGTGGATAGACATTATCTCACCAGGGGATGAAGCTGTAAAATTTCGCTTTGTGATTTCTGACCTGTAATATACGAAGGACAATTTCTGCCAATTGTGGATTCTCTCTCTTCGTCTTCTATCTTCTGTTTTTAGAACCATATGAAGGCGTATTCATAACTTGTGTAAATATTTGTGAATTTGTTGAATAAAATAGTTTAACATTTATAACATTGTTTAATGTCAATGAAGGTTGTTAAAAATGTTTATTTGTCAGCTGGTCGGATTGCTCGGGGTCAAAGCACTGAGCTGAACTCCTGGGGATGGATCTGGGTTCAGTTGCTGCTCCTGGGGATGGATCTCGGTTCAGTCGCCGGTGGCTTCAACTGGAATTTCCACTGTACCAAGTTCACAGTCTCTGCTCTGCCACAAATGGCTACACCAAACAAAGTGCATCATATTGTATTTGCTTTTCACTTTATTTGGCTCATTACAGTTTTGACTGACGTGATAGGAGCAGGTCACACAAGAGGTTATAGCCGCGTGTAAAGGAGCCGACTGAAGGGACTTGAAAAGACGCAGGTCTCTGATATAATCTTTCGTGGATGTTCTCAGACACAGGATGGTGCAATACTAGCTGCCAGATGTTCAATTGGAGTTTGTCTTCATCTCATGCCACGAAACCGATAGGAGATACGAAATATAGCTGGTGGAGAAATGTGCCTTGATGGGGGGTGGGGGGGGGGGGCGAAGAAGTCTGGCTGCTAATAGAGGTCTGGAATAGTGATTTATATATATTTACTTTAGTGCTGTGTAATTCAGAGTGACTTGATTAGCGGTATGAGATGTCCCTACCCACCCACGTTACTGGTTAAATGCGTTCAACCGTCTCCATGTGTGTAGTATTGATCTCAAGACCAATGATTGCTAACCTCCTTGTTGGGTCAACGGTCAGTGCTGCAAATAATTGGAGCATGCATCGTTTGCTGTGTGGACGGGTGTAGAGTATCATTTAAGGCCATTAAATGTACGAGACGCGTCTGTGATGAGGACTTCTTGAGAAGGAATACATTGCACAGGCAATCCTTGCAATAGCTCCTGCGTACAAATGTTCCCCCTCTGTGCAGTGCAACAGCTCACGCCTTCAAGTGTTCAGGGAGCTCACACAAGAATAGTTGGGAGTAAAGTGCCATATTGTATTATAATCCTTCTGATGATTTACATCAGTATTCAATGAGGTGGTTGGTCCTATCATAGAAGCAAGGCAAGCACAATAGGTTATAGGTGCTACTCACTATGTGAGGTTCTTGTTAAAATACAGACATTATTATTGATCTGCTCAATGAGATGTGTTTCTCAACGGGGTGCCGGCTTTCATAAAATATCGTCATTTAATATTAAATGTACGAATACACACTCACCTTTCCATGTGTCCGTCGCAATTGTCATTGGCTATTATAAGCAGACACCACACATTAAAGAAGAACAATTGCGATAAACTTAAAAATTATTTGAAGGCCAGACTTTTCCCTGTGTTTTACAAAAAACGGCAAGAGAAAGTAAAACTAAATTCACCAGCATATGAAGGCTTTAAAAAAATGCAGAGATATTGGTCAAAATTCAGTTTAACACGTAGGCTTTTGCGACCAGTATTATTCATAATAAAGGTTTTTGGGTTAGATCGCGTTATTTATAAATGTGTCACAACCCTCCACCACCCGACATGGCCAATCAGTAAAAAATGTGTCACGTTGACAAAAGACAAATAGTTCACTACTTTAGCCCACCGGTGTGTTGAAGAGTGAATCCACAACATTTACAATTTGAGTAGTACGACGTTTCGCTGGATATTACATCCAGCATCTTCAGGCGATTTGCCAGAATTGTGAAGCCACCCACCTGCTTCCGGTCTTAAATAGTGCAGGATGACGTCATAATTTTTGAACCCCACCAGGTTTCGAGATCAAAGGCGGAGGTGGGGGTGGGGGTGTATGCAATTAATTATGTAATACATCAGTAATCAGCCACTTAGCACGTGACTCACCTGTAAGGAATTGCAATATGTGTTGTGTATACCTACTATAATCACCCAGGAATGTCCTTAATGCGCGTGACGTCATTCCACATTGACCAGTCCCCCTCATTAATATTCATGAGCAGGTGACGTTACTCAATTTGGAGTACTCCCTCTCACTAATAATCATGCGCAAGTGACGTCACTCCACATCGAACAGCCCCCTCATTGATAATCATGAGCAGGTGACGTCCTCCAAATGGACACTCCCCCCCCCCCCATTATTATTACCTACTATAATGAGCCAAGAATGTCTGTGTGCAACGCTCGTGACGTCACTCCACATCGAACAGCCCCCCTCATTAATAATCATGAACAGGTTACGTCCTCCACATGGACCCCCCCGCCATTAATATTAATTATCGGGTGACGTCACTCCACATGGGGGGCGAGGCGCCTCCTCTCCCTTCCTCGACGTCAACTTACAGCCCTCACTACAAAGGCAGAATCCTGACGTCACGCGATCTCAGTAACGCTATTGAGACATCAAAGTAAAAAAGACGTCATGATGAACACGGGATTATAACCTTTAAATGAAATAGGTCTATGTCACCGCGCCCTTACAAATTGCACACGAATTGATGCAATGAATATCACGCCGCGGTCTGCTTTTCGCTTGCAAGTTTCAGATTTACTGCAATACACCTGTCCTTGGACGGGAAAAAGGCACGTTACTTAATCATATACTTCCAGTCTGCGCTGAGTCTGTAACTATCACAGCCGTTGAAATTATTTGAATTCTTCTCAATGTCGATTGATTCTCTAACTAGACTTGGCCAGTAATAATTAGTTCTGCATAACACTTCAACGTTATAAAAAATAAATGCAATGTCCTTGTTGGCAAGCATACTCTGCCACTGCTGACAGCTGTGTTTGGGAGAATGTAGTGTTCCTATAGTGTTATTTTGTCTTACGCCAATGTTACCTCACGTCTGTCCAATATAACACTTACCGCATAAGCAATTGATCCGATATACAGCGTCTGTTGATAACATCTTTAGTACAAGACACTAGTTTTTGAATTGTGTGTACCGTACCAAATCTCACTTTAATGTTTTGCTTTTGCAAAACACGGGCTAATTTGTCAGTAACAACCAAGATATATGGTATTTTAATTGTTTTGATAATTATTTGATCGCTTACAGCAGTAATGTTGGTCGGTCTTGGTTTTGGCATTCAATGCTCTGTTAATTTGAGCACTATTGTAGCCATTCCTTAGACTTTCACTATCTGACACTGTCTTTGCCCGACGGATGAGCTTCTTGATGAGAGAGGATTTCTGTGCTGAGTGATGATGCGAATCTGCACACAGATAGGCATCTGTGTGCGTTCCATTTCGGTTGACGCTGCGTGTTATATTACCATTTTGACCGCGTCCAAGGTGAGTGTGTTGTTCACCTCCATTTCCATGGTGAACTGAATGGCTGGGTTTTTTTGCATATAAGGAAAGATATGAAATATGTTAAAGAAACACGAAGGCTGAATGGCTACAATAATGCTCAAATTAACAGATCATTGAATGCAAAACCAAGACCGAACAATAATACTGTTGAAAGTGATCAGATAATTATCAGAACAATTATACCATATATATCGGGAGTTACTGACAAATTAGCCCGTGTTCTGCAAAAGCAAAAGATTAAAGTGAGATTTGGTACGGTACACAAAATAAAACAAACTAGTGTCTTGTACTGAAGATGAATAACAAAAGTAATCAACAGAAGGTGTATATCGGATCAATTGCTTATGCGATAAGTGTTATATTGGACAGACGGGATGTAACATTAGCGTAAGACTAAAAGAA